CTTCCACACTCTGCCTTGTGCGTCACAGCTATTCATCTTGTTTTGTACTTGGCTCTGCTGCAGATGCTGTAAATATGGTAATTTTAGATTCCCTGATTGGAAAGGGTTGCAGGGCGGTTCCAAGTGGTAAAAGCACTGTTTGATTTACGCTAGTTCATTCTAGTTTCACAGAGTTTGGGGTTTTAAAGATACAGCTGAAATGAGACATGGTTTTAATGGCCATTTCTTTTTTAGGGTTAGGAGAGGGATAAATATGAGGTTAGCTTTGTGTACTGACATGCAAAAATGCTGCCCAGAAACTCTAGTGAAACTGGAAAGAAATAAAACAGGAGCAGGAGAGGAGGTACTTCCTCAGATTGTTATGTAGGAAGACTTCAAAAAAGGATAGCTATCACGATACTTTCATATTACTAAGATACTTGTCCCTGTGAGGTTAGAGTATTTCACAAGAGAACGGACTTTTGATAATCAAGCTGTTGTGAGAAGGCTCTCTCTCATGGCTTCCCAGGAGGGGCTCATTTGTTGGACTGACGGGAAGTGAATTTATGAGGGTTCCCTGCACATCGGTATTCATAGGTACTTTTTTTCCTTTTAGCTCTTTATGCAGTCAAAGGAGAGAGGAAGGGAATGGTGTGAAAATACCGCTTGCTACAGGCACATTAAAATGTTTGTACGAGGCCTACTGGGAATTATTTTGTCTTTTATTCTTGAAACATTGGCCCCCTGGTAAGCAGCAGTGGATTTCAGAGGTTCATTAGATGACGCTGGAGTTCTGCTACTTCACATGGTGACATTACTCAAGTTGAAATTGAGACACTGAAAAAGACAGAAAGGAGGTAGTGAAGAGTTGAATATATGAGCCCCCTTTTTCTTCATGGGGCCATGCAGCAGCAAGGCCTGTGTTGTTTTATCTAAAATTATCAGGTCATGGCAACAGCATTTTTTAGTTGTCTGTGCTATTGCTGTGTTTTCTTGCACACATACCATTGCTAGTATCATCTTACAAGGTTTTATGATTTGACAGGACTTACACCTTTTGATTTCTTACATATCCTCTTAGGTGAAGTTTCCTACTGCAGAGTTAGCCTGGTGAGAGGTCTGCTACCTAGCTTCTGTGCTTAGTGGCAGCAGCATCTGAAATGCAGCCTTGGTCCTGTTATCACTTCACCTGATAAGCTGTCCTGCGTGTGCCGGAGGATGCCAGCTGTGCCAGGGGTACTGACTCCAGGCGGCTTTTTGTGCCTTCCCATAGCAACTCTTTTCCTGAGAGTATGCAGTGGGACTCTAGTGCAGAGGACTTCTGCACTAGACTGAGAAAAGAATCCATTTGTCACAGCACACAGCTGGCTCCTGGAGCATTGGGAGCATAGCGCATAGGTGAAAACCCTGTAAAAAAGGGTATCTGATGTTCATTTACCTTACATGGCACCTAAATTCTCCTCATGTCATGTTACTAGATTTCTTTATGTGTTTTTTGCCACTGCGTAGCACTGCAGCACATTGCAGCACTGCAGCACTGCATAGCACATTGGCTCCTACGAAGTACTGCTGTGTTTTACTCCAGAGCTATTTGTACCTTAGTAGCAGGTATAAACCCTACACCAACTTCAATAGTGTAGTTAGTTCAGTCAGTTAGTCAAGGAGCGACACAAATTTATGTTTATTGTGGCCCGTTTTTTGAGTTTTCACAGCTAGGCCTATGTGTAGAAATGAATCCACAGCTTCTGGAAAATATGGTCTATTGAGGAGCTATTTTGGACTTCCAGGGTTCTGGGCTGTGAAATGTCCTAGAGCTTGATAGGTTCCCAACTACAGGCTATTTTCATTACTGTATCTTTTCTGAGAGAGCAGTGAGAGAAACACTGCTTTCTGGAACAACTGAACAGTGACAGAGTTTTCTATTTTTACATCTGTTTTGATACACAAAAACTAGATTTAGAATATGTCTGCTAAATCCCTCTACACAGCAAAAAGTGAATGATAAAGATGATTTTAATTCCCCTTGTCTCCGAAGCATCCAAGGGACCAGCTCAATCTCTGAACATGTAACATGCTAAGTGGTTGCTCCAGTATATGCCCATTTATAGCATTTCTTTAACAGCACCTTCTCCCTTGACTCTCTATCACTCTAGATGAGGTATGCTGTTGGGAAAAGGAGCATAACATGTGTGACATGAGCATCACAGTGTGACAACATAGTTTTCAAGGAGCTCTAGTGATTATCAGTGTTACAGCTCTCTAATACTAAGGTTATTAAGAAAGCACATCCGTAAGATGTAAATAGGTAATTAAGTATCATATGCCCAATCTTTTCCATTTTGTGCTGGTAAATTATGTGCTGGTTTTGAGGGAGAAATGGTCCTTTGGATGGGATTTGCCAGGAAAAAGGGAAGGGTATTCATGTGTGCAGCCATAAGGTTTATAATTTAGCTGTGCTCTGTGCAAGTACTTGGTAATTCCTCAGAGATGTATTGCTGAGGACAGGATAGCCCCATGGTATGTGAATAAGTAGGGAGGGCAAAGATGTGTGGGGCTAGCAAAGGATGTAAGGCATATTAAGGAGAAAAGAATGAATAAAAAGGGGACATTCTGAAAAAAACCAACAAACCTACAGTGTAATGATGGGGAAGGTAATACCTTAATAGCTGTATTATTTTTGGAAAAAGGAGAAGGGAATTGGAATTAGGGTAATCAGAAAGATCAGGGAGGAAGAGACGGTTAGTAAGGACCAAGCTTTTAAGTATGACTCTGGAGGTGATTTGTTGCCAGGTTTGAGATCAAATGAGGCTGGATATATTATCAATTTAAGCAAGCACATGCAGGTAAAATATGTGTTCAAAAATACTTTGCAGAGCTGGACTCAATCCTGTGTAGTGCAGAGAATTCTCAACTCTCCCTGAACTCCCTAGAACCTTTCAGGAAGTGCTCAGTACTTTGTTTTAGTCCCAGATTTGTTTTACTTAAGTATTACCCTCTGCCCCACTGGCAGCTCTTCCCAGCTCTGAATTGCTTGGTACACATGGCAGTTTTCAGGGCTTCAGGCTCCATTCACATGTCACTTGGAGGTAACCTGGCAAGTAAATTCAGAGGGTGAGCCCATTGCCAACTTTTGTCCTTTCCCTATCTGTTGCTGCATTACCATTTGACGCATGAGAATGACATTGGCAGCATGTCTTACCCAGTGTCCTTAGCTGGGTTAGTATTTGAGCATGGGTTAGTATTTGAGGCAGTTTAATCCAGAATTTCATAGGTCCAATTCTGTATCTAATTCTTCTATAAAACAGATGTCTAATCTAGTCTAGTCCATCTTTTGGGTTGCAAATGGCAGGTTAAATCACATGAACCAAACAGTGCATTTAACAGGGCATGCAATTTACAGGGCAGAGATGGAAAAAAAAAATCTTCGAATTGGTTCCCTTTCTCACAAAAAACTTGTAAACAGATTATTTCTCTAAAAAAAAAGAAGTACTAATTATGCCACCTTTTTTTAATCTAAGCAGCTTGATGGCAAAGCTGTGGCCTAGTCATTGTTTCTTCCTGGGGTTTATATTTGATTTTGCGAACACTTGTGATTTTGAGAGGGTCAGTTTGCATTCTCTCTCTCCATTGTGTTGTGTGCTTAGAGGGGTTTGTGTGGGCTATCACACTTGGCTCCCATGAGATCCCACATCTGGTAAAGGATAGAGTGTATGACCCCACGCCCAGCCTCTTCCTTACTTCCAGCCTTCCCCCATCATCTGAGAAGGTTAAACTAAAAGCAACATCTATGATGGCAAAGGCCCAAGTTTGAAATGTGTTCATTGTATGTGCTCAGTTCAAAAACAACATATCAAGGCGAGTGCAGTCCTTACAAGTAGCACCCCTGGGCCTTCTTTTATTCCAAAGCAGAGATATTTACCCAAGGAAAAGAGGGAAGTGACAGGGTAACAGAGTACACATGTTGTGAAAATATGCAGGCAGCGACTGAAGAAAAAATAACATTCTGCCACAAGTAGCTGCCTTGTTCCTCAACCTTTTTTTTTTTTCCTTCAGATTAGAACCAGCCATTTCTTGCGCTCTTTCAAGCACCTTCTGCGGTTTCCTGACAGCTGGCTGGAGAGGATTGAAATCTGGCTTGAAAAATGGGCCATGGGTCATGTTATTTTCAAGAGAGAAGCAAAAAATTCCCATAATGGTCAAAATTCACAGGTTTGGGGTTTGGTGGGGTTTTGTTCTAGAAAATCAGTGTTGGATATTTTAATATATAGCTTCAGTTTAAAATTATTAATAAAGAACAACTACAGAATCAACTCTTCACTGCTCTTCCCTCTGGTTGATTTGTAATGGCAAGCAATATTTTGTGTGGAGTTGCAGCCTATCATTTTATGGTGTCCAGAGTGGGAGAGGAAAATGTTCAGCTTCATAAAAGAGTATACTGGGGTTTTCTGGAAGTATTTTGTTGGGTTTTTTAATTATGTGATAACACTTCTCTTGCAAAAACTGTTTCATTAACAGAAAGATAAGTCTGAGAAACAGCCTGGAGGCTGGTATTCTGGCTCTTGGCTCTCCTGAGCCTGAATTGAAAATACCAATACATTCCCAGCTTTATGTTCAAGCAGATGGTTTCTGTTAGGAGTTATAAACCTTTCTGGTCTTTTGTTCTTTGGTGAACAAGTTCTCTTTCTTAAAAAGAGAATACTTAGTTCACAGAAGTGTTAACTTACTTGACCTGCATTTTAGGGCATGAGGCTTCCTCTTGGGAATGGGGCTCACTACCTTTTGTAGCCAAAAAGCACAGCCCAAAATGGTAGTGCAGTCAACTGGGTTTAAGGAAAGAAAGGGAAAGAAAGCAGGAGCAGGGGAGAGGTACAAGAGAAAAATGTCGGCAGGAGGCAGCAAGTAGAGAAATTCAACTAGCATGCCCTACCATATGGAGAGAGCTGTGAAGTCAAGCAAAAGTCCTACTGTCTGTGGAGCATAAAGAAGGTAAAAGTGTTGATTGACTCTTGATGTTTGAACAGACAGACAACCAACCCCAGGCAATGGCAGAGCATGATGAGGCAAGTACAGCAGCACTGGGAGTGGAGGGACTGCATGAGTAGAGAACTGGGACCACGTCACCTGACCAGGCTATACTCTGCATCAGCAAGTCTACATCCTCCAGGATGTCTCCCAGAGGATCTATCTTCTCCTTGCTTCAATAATGAGTTACAGTCCCTTCTGTAGAAGAACTAGAATGGGGTCAAAGGAGAGTATTTCTCTAAGAACTTTAATGAAAGCCCATTCAGTACAGCTCACTGAATAGAGGTTTTAATGGGTAACTCAGATTAAAATAGTAATCTATTCCTACTCACAGTTAACTCCCCTGGAATGAGAACAAGCAGCACATTCTAATGGGTAGATGATACTGGTGGAAACTAGGAGTTCCTTAGTTCTAATGTTCACTCAGCTCTGGACTCGTTGAGTGACAGTGGATAACATGGGGAAACACTTTCAGCTAGTGGGTAATAATATTGAAGTACTTTGTGAAAATGTGTGGGACAATTAGCATCTGCTAATGAAAGATACCAGTTTCCATATTTCTGCTAATTTGTGACAGTGCATCATACTGCATAGTGTAAAAGAGATCTGTTAAATTAACTAAACAGATGAGGTCCCCTCATGTCCATGCTACAAATGATAAAAGCCCACAGGTAGAAGACTGAATTGATCGAATAAAATTTTCTCATCGTATCACTGAGTTGCACTGATTTATATGAAGCTATGCCCTTAATGATTTGGCTTCCTATGTCCAACTGATTTATAAACAAAATTTATAAATACTAAATTTATCAGCTGAGAGAGTTTGCTGTCATAACCTTTGTCTATTTTCATTAGGGATTTCTGCACCCAGAGGTACAAATATAATTTTGAAAGGGTGTGTTTTATAGTCTTCAGTTGTAGAATGAGCCCTTTCAGTGGTATTAACTCTCCTACATTCACACCAGAAAGTTGACTTGGCTTCTGCAAGTGCTATTGAGTGCCAAAACAGATTACTCCTACTGTGTAACCAGTTTTCACCTGCTTTTGTGTACGAAGACATTAATGAAAGAATACTTCTTGGAATGGTTTAATGGTTAGAGGAAGGTAACACAATTCAAGACTATGCTAGGCAGTAGCTTAGGTACATTCAGGGACTGTTTGCAAACCACAGCAAACCACTTTAACTAACTGTAAAGTACCTTCCCTGTCAGAAAAATGGGTGCAAGAATACTACCACTTTGCAGGCTTTGTTACTCATAAGCTGTTTGCAAAGACTTAATGCTCTGAATCACTAGCTATTCTTATTGTAGTATGATTTTTATTTAAGTTTCTTTTTTTTCTAGTTGGGGTATGATTGGCTATCTAGCCCTGTTTTTCATATGACATACTGTACTCACTATTGTTTGAAATCGCCATTAGAGCACTTGACAATAACGTTTTCTTTCCAAACTCGCTTGTATTTTTTAAAGCACTGATTTTTTTTTTCTTTTCCTTTCCTGTTTATCTAAAGTAGTTGAAGGAAAAGGACACATTGCGTCAAAGCTGATAGGACAAGAATTAGACCTACTGTATGTGCTGGTTGTATTCAGGCTTCCTTTCTCCTCCCCCATAACCAAAGCCAGCTCTGCTCCATTCTTTGGGACGGGCAGGATATTGAGATTTACAAGACGTCTACCCTTTGAAGTACTGGGAGACCATGGTTCTTTCACATTTCTTTCTAAAGCCTGAGGAAAATAGGTGCAGGGATCGTGAGTGTGGAAAGCTTCAAATTCCTCACATTTCAGCTGGTGTTTTTGCCCTGGGAGTAATAGTAAAGGAATACAAGGTTTGCTGTGATTTGCTGCTTTGGATCAGTTACGGTTAAAAACTTGGTCTGGGCTTAGTGCAGAGCCAAATTTTGAAGTGATTTAGTCCTACTGTGTACATGTTTGCTCCTGCATCAGTATGGACATAGTGGGAGAATTTGCCCTCATGGAGTTGCAAAGGATTTGTTAACACACAGAAATCCCACCAGTTTAATTGAAATGAGTTTAACAGATTTACTGAAACTCATGCCACACCCGTGTTCCTCCTCTGTTTAAGCTACATTTTAGTAAGTGCTTACATAAGGGTTTGCAATAGTTTAAGTAAATTACATATAAACTGTACATCTACTTAAATCAGTGCAATTTTCCTACATAAACAAGAACAAAGTAAAAACCTATGGACAACCCCCTTCCTCTGGACCCAGCTGGAAGGCGTCACTGAGCTCAGTTACTTACCACAGTCCTCTGTCAGCCACTTCCAACCACTCAGACATGGATGGGGTTTTTGTGTGCACTCCCCAATGTTTCGTGGTGGATGGTAAAGGCACATTAGCTCCAACCACTCATTTAAACTGATGTGACAAGTCCTGCCTGAAGTATATTTGGGAGTACTTACAGTGGCAGCTCTGCAGGGCAGACAGCAGCCCTGAGCAGGGTGGCAGTTGGGGGCAGCTGGAGGGCAGCAGTATCTCAGCCTAGGACAGCTGTTGCAGAGTGAGCATCTGCCCGTTGCTCAACTTGAACACGTGCTAGGTTCCCTTCAACCAGTTTATTCACACTTTACCCCTTACTAAAGAATTCAGATTTGATTTAATTTACAAGTCAAGGTGCATCAACTTCTATCCCCTACTGTGCCAGTATTCATCTGTCACAGGTCAAGAGATTTGTCTACTGTAAATCATTTCCATTTCACAGTTAGTGCAGAATATTCAAGAGAGCAGGTTTCAGTTCCCAGTACCAAGGGTCTCCACTTGAAATTTCTCTTCAGAGTGGTTTACTGTCTATAATTCTAACTGGAATGCCTTTGCACAGCTACTTTTCAGTTTCAGTCTTTTGTTTTCCTTTGTTTGTCACTGCTGACCAAAACCAGCCTGTATTCTTTCCATTGCCTTCAGTGGAAGTGGGGCAGCATCCACTTGCCTCTCTCTTGACCAGGGAAGTTATTTTATAAATATCTGTAAAAGCACTTTAGCATGAAGGAGAAAACATACTTATGGGCTGCATTCAATAGGAACTGAAAAGTGGATTAAATAGTTTCTTTCTGCATTTCCCCAGGGTGCTGCTCCATAGCAGTTTAAATTGCTCGGTCTGCTGTGCTTCTACTCATTCCGCTCCCAGCTGTGTGTTCCTGCTCCTTCTCTTGCACTGGCACTGGCACTTTCCCGATCTGAATAGTTGCATGAACTGGCTTAAAACTGCCTGAAAAACAATCCTGGGGGATTTTTTTTAGGCCACTCAACTGAGACTGGGTGAAGGTGCCGTGGAGCTGCATGTTTAGATAATCGTCCATCAGTTCCTCTAAGTTTTCCCGTTACATAAGGGAGTGCTGGCTGGTGCTCTTTCCAGACCAGTTTCTGAATTTGGTGGCCTGTGTTTCATAGCTAACTCATAAATGCAATTCTCCATGCAGCTAGGACCTTCTGTAAAGGTGAAGCAGTATATATTCTTAAAACCACTTTAAAGAGTGTCCTAAGTTAATTGCTAAATAGGCTGTTTAACACTAGTAAACAGTTCAATTTCAGTGGTATAGTACAAGCTTTCAGGCTTGTATTAGGCATTTTGCTCTATAAGACTGGGCTACTTTGTCTCCAGCAGTTAGTAACAGTAAACTAAAAATCTGAAGGCATTTGCCTTTCAGGACTGTATTGCAAGAGCAGGGTTTAGAGCTCTTGTTTCCTGTAGTCCATTTCTTTCCCTTCCCAGCAGAGAGCTGTTGATCGCCTTGATTGCTTCTCCATGAGGGATCCTCACTCCATGTTGACATACAAGAGGAGACCTTAGAACTTTACTCCTGCTTCTCATCTTTAGTCTTTCTGGTAAGGCTCAGTGGTCCTCCTTGAGGTTAATCAGGAAAGACCATGGTCAGGCCTGAAAGCTTTGTCACTGACATCAGCAGAGAGGTCCCAGACTGAATGGTCATAGTCCCTACAGCATTCCTGTCCTTAGCCTTCCTCTGCCTGATTCAGTGGCTCTGCACTGGCAAACAGTGGGGAAGCTTGTGCTGCTACTCATCCATCATGTGTGGGTTTTTTATAGTTAGAGAGCTCCTGATCCCAGCATCCTTAGGGCTTTTTTAGCAACACTAATCTGATTTGCAAGCAAAACAGAATGAGAGAGCTTTGATCAGGCAATCTTGGTTTGTTTTTGAGTAATCCCTGGCAAAAGGAGGGTGATAAGGAGTTAGTGGGTGGCTCTGTTTGTGAGCACAAAAGCATGTATCACTACACCTGCAATACCAGAAAGCATCTACAACAATGGCATTTAGGCACATGAAGGCCCAGGCCATGACTTCCAGAGGAAGCTGACAAGTTAAGACCAGTGCAGATAATTGCCCCTGTTAACCAGGGAGCAGGGGGCATCTAGGTATATTGAAGTGACTTAACTGATCTGCTAGGGACTTTAAGGTACTTTTGGATGTGTTTGGTCATTTAGGCATTTGGAATTGCTGTCAACTTATTGCTGATGGACAGGCAGAGCTAGTCAGCAGTTGTCTTATACTTTTCATTATAAAATCTTGGTTTCATCTAATTGTAATTTACCACTGCATTTGAGCCAAAATGCTTATATAAGGGACTGCTTTCTGAGTGGTTTTACTGGAAAGTTTCTTCCAAAAGCTTGTATTGAGTTAGGAAAAAAGTGGTTGTCTTGCCAGTGATTGAAAGCAGGTCTTTAGCTAAGAAGCTCTACAGCTTCCATTTTTAAGTACAAATTGCACTTAACTGATGGATGAATGGGATGTTAGAAGAAAAAAAATGGGGAAGGACTTTTATTTTCACATGAAAATTTATGCAGACAGTCATACTGTGAGCATGCTTCAGCACAAAGTTGAGTCTATTTTCTTTTTAAATTCCTTTTTCTAACCTTTAGGAGCTGTTGGGTCACTGGAAGGCCATAGTAGGGAATGGGAAGTTAAGCTGCATGTGCCTTGGTTCACAGTACTCCTCTAGGCATCTTGAAGGAACAGGAATGGGAAGTAGCAAGTAGAACCACAACAGTGATGGGCTGGGAAACTATTGAAGCAGAAGAATGTGGGAGTGACAGCCACAATAAGCTTTAAGATTGGGATGGGATGAGGAGATCTCCATAGGAACATATAGCTTAAAGGGACTCATCTCCAGGCCTTAAACGTATGCTGGTTTTTGAATCTCACTATTTCACTGTTATGTAGCAATTGCCTGACAAGATACTTGCTTCATTCCTTTCTCGCCTTCAGAAAAAGCAGCGTGGTTCCTATTTGTGCTAGCAGTTAAAAGTGTACATCTTATATCTAAAGCCATTCACAAACCCTAAAAATACCAGCATTTTTCTGTGATGGAATGTTGGGGGTAATGCAGTTTGTCATTTTAAATTAGTAGGTTTTTGACAACTCTAAACCAAAACCTGGCATTTTGACTGTAGGATTTTCCATTTAATACAAGTGGAACTCAGTAAATTTTGCAAAAATACATCAAACATGGCAACAAGTCCGAATCCTGATGTCTTTGCACTGATGGGCCCATTCTGTGAAAACATTAAGGGCATCTCATTTGTGAATCCTCTGCCAAAAGCAGTTCAGTAGTTCAATCCAGAGAAAGAGGGACTTCAGTGAATTGTAAGGCAAGAATTCTATCTAAATAACAACTTA